CCCACGACAATGTTTTGGCATGCTTCCGGGTCTTCAAACGGTTGTCTTCCAACGGGGCAGAGCCCTCAATGGAAATGAACCGTTGTAGGGGCCTACGCCTATGAAGAGGGGACTTGGAGGGAGGGTGTATTCCAAGATCGTTGATGGCTCTGGGGTTTACATTGGTCCTTCTCCTCCTCCTCCTCCTCCTCCTCCTCCTCCTCTTCCTCTTCCCCTCTCTCCCTTCATCCCTCCCTCCCTCCGTCCTGCCTCCCCTTCTCTCCTTCTCTTCTCCACACTTAGACCATCTGAATACTACTCTCCTCTCTCCACTGGTGACGTCTGGGAAATATTCGCCCCCCCCTCCGCGTACTGGTTTTTTACACACAGGACTCCCGGGAATTAGGTTTTCGCATGGTTTTTTCAATGTGCCACTCTCGCTAAAGCGCTGGCCTCATTTTGGGGCTACCGCCCGTTCCGAATCGTGCTCCTGCTGCAGCACTGGCCTCATTTTCTAAATCGTGCTCCTGCTCGCACTGAAGAGAAGAAAGAACAAGCGGACAATAAGCAGGCCAGGGGAAACAAGCAGACAAGAGACGAATGGGGCAAGGGAAACATGTAATGTCCGAAAAGCAGGCGCAATGGAAAACAAAAAAGTGCGCACATCCAATATGTTGTTGTGGACACCCGGGTGCAAAGCCAAAGACCACCCGGGTGCCCGCGACAGGGCGCACTTCCAGAAGCGGCGACAGGCGGAGGTGAGGAATGAGGAAGGAGCCAAGAGGGACCGGAAGACGGAGGAGGCGGGCGCGCGGAGGGGGGGGGGAGCCACCCGACCCCCCCCTTCGGCGCTCGCGCCGCACACGCCGGAGGCACGGAGCAAGGAAGGAGAGGGGAGGAGAGGGCTCGACGTTCCAGCCACATTGAGCCGGACACTTCAGGCCACGGCCCCCTTCCAGCCAGATGGGGCCGGACACTTCCGGCCACGGCCTCCCTACAACGACGACAACGATGAGGGGTGGCGGGGGCGCCCAGCGTGGTCTAATCCATCGCAGCCTACTTGGAAAGTTCAACGGCTTTCTTCGCTCCCGTGTCGTCGTAAAAAGTAAAGAAGGAGAAGGAGAGGGCAGGGGGGGAAAGAGGCGCAGACGCAGCACCCGGGGGGGGGGGGAGCCAGGACAGGGCATCCAGAAGAGCCCCCTGCGCCTGCCACAGAAGAAATGTGGCATGCGCCGGTGGCGAACTGCCATGCCTTCGCAGTTTGCATGCGCATGGACAGGGCTTGCCAAAGGACAGCGGGATTGTTGCCAGCGTGACGCGCGAGCGATCCCACGATGCCCTGCGCCGCCTCCCCTGGGCGCCCGCGTCCCTCAATGACGAAGGGTGTGATTGGCAATCCCACATAGCGAACCATCTTTGCACGTTCTGCCGCGCGGCAGCCACCCCATCGCGGCTCGCGGAGGCGCTCCGGCGGGCATCGTCGTCGCTGTAAGATTGACAATGGCCACGCCTATCGCAACCAGTCGACCGTCTTGATGCCGCAACACGTCCAGCACGTCTGCCGCTGGGCCAGCCTCTTCGGCAGCGCCAGCCTCGCCCTGCGCCGCCGCCGGTTGGGCAGCTGCTGCTGGCGCGCCCACAGAGCGGCGGGAGCACTCCAATCGTTGTTTCTGCTGCGTAGCTGGATCGATGTTTTGCCGAATCCAATGCAGCAGAAGGTCCAGCACTTCGCTGTGCGCACGCGTGATGCCGCCGCCTTTTCTTACAAGTCTCAAACTGGTGTTCGTCGTGTGCCTCGCGCGGCGCTCTTCCGCATGCACTGGCTTGGCTTCGGCGCTGACAGCGCGCAGCGAGCGGCTGCGGCGCTATGGCAGCGCCCATCGCGGCAAGCCGGCGACGGCGGGCGGCGACGCGCCGCGCCCCGCCGGGCATCGGGTCGACGCCCGGCAGCGGCGCCAAAAGGAAAGCCCCAGCTCTGGGCCCTCCTGCAGATCGGATCTGCGCCTGCGCCCGCATGTCCAGCCCCAGACTAACAAGGTCGAACAGCTGGTGGCCCATGTCCGCGACGCGGGCTGTCAGCGCCCCGAATCGTTCTGCTGACGAGCCGAAGCCGACGTTCAGGGGGTCGCCCCGGTCCCGCCAGTATAAAGTGCACCCTGAGCTGCAAGACTCGCCTGGCGCGCAAGTCACGGGACAAGAAGCCTGCAGCCGCGTCGTCCTTGGCCCGAACCCTTGTCTTGCCGCCGTTGAGCTGCAGGCCGACTGGCCAGCTGCTGTTCCAGATTAAACCGCGCCTTGTCCAGAGACTGGGTAGGGCCTGCCACGTGCAGGTCGTCAGCGCATGCTACAATGCGGACATTCAGGCTTTCCCGCTGACATTGCGTCGAAGCGGCGTCTATGGGGTCAGCAATGGCCACGGCGAAAAGAAGCATGCAAAGGGGCATCCCTGCGCCACGCCAGAGCCTTGCTCCAGGGCCTCAGTGCCCCCGGCCCCGATGCTCCACATGTCGAGGGATGGCGCAATCAGCAACCTGTGGGCCAAAGAAGCACATCGATGGGGGCCGCGTGGCACAAGCCCGATACACTGCGTCTCTGCGGATGCTTCCATGCGCATTCGTAGTGTCCACGCTGAGCACGCCACTCGCATCCCCTGCGTCAGCCAAGGTCTGGATGGCCTTGAAGGCGGCATCTATTCCTCCAGAAGTGCCCACTGCACACTGTGCGTCCCCGACTGCGTCTGGGATGCAGCCCCGAAGGCGCGCCAAGAGTGAACGGACCGCAAGCCTCTGGAGGAAGGCGCCAACAGCCAACGGACGAACACCCCCAGTTTTCCAGCTCTGGAGGAATTTGCCACTGCACCCATCGGCACAAAACGCGCGATAGGAGATCCATCGCCGTCCTATCCTTCCGCTTTGCATGCCAGGAAGAGACTATGCAACCATCCCACCATGGCGCAGAGCGAGGGCACATGGCTCCCAGCGCGCGGACCACCTGCTCCACGCAGTCCTGCCCAGCGTCCTCGTCAGCGAAGAGCGGCGTGGTGGCCTCCGAAGGGTCTGGAGTGTAGTGTCTTGCGGTCAATCAATCGCGCCAGAAGGTCTGGCAGCGTGGCCGGATCGGTGATGAGGGAGGCACGGTTGCGCAAGAGACCCAAAACGCGAGTCATGTCATCGTCGGCGACCAGCTCTTCCACGCGTTACAATGAGACGAAACGCGGGTGGTTGCGACTGGAGGGTAATGTGTGTTTTTAACTCGCTGTATAAAAAAGGTCCCACTGCCCAGTCCAGAATAACAGGAGGCGTCCAGCAACGCCCCTCTCTCGCCCAGCCAGTCGCTTGCCGCCTCTGCGCGCCCCCCTCTCCGAGACGCCCTCCGGAGGATCATGCGGTCGAACATGAATAGGGCCTTTACGCGCTCGAGCAAGGACTGCTTAGCCTCGCTGTACTGCGTGGTAAGGGCTTCTGGGATGCTCGTAAGCGTCGTTGCGTTTCGCTCCATCTCCGAAGCCAGGTCAAAGAGAGTCCACCAGGCGAGGTCTGGGCACTGCCACACATCCGCGAGCAGAGCAGGCTGCGAGGAGTGCAATTCCTGCCGGCGCAAGTCATCACCTCCTTCTCCTCCTGCTCCTCCTCGTGCTGCATCCACTGCTCCACCACCAGGCTCAAGTGGTTGCTATCCTGGGGCTGGCCTCTCTAGGCGAAGACGCAATCGGCGGTCAGCCTCCGCAGCTGCACCGGCGCCCTCCGCCTCGTCCGCCACCTCGACGTCATGATTGTCTGTCCTCGCCGCCTGCCCCCTGCGGACGCCAAGCGATGTGCTAGCGGTGTCCGCGTCCGTGGCGCCCTCGACGATATCCCCTGGCAGGACGTCGTCCACGCCGCGCTCCCAGTGGATGAACCTGCGGCGCGCCCGATGATCGGCGCGGGCTGCGAGCCGACGCTGCCCTGAAGTGATATTCTCGTGGCATCGCTGGCAAGTGGCCTTCGCCAGCGGCCCCGCAGAACTGAGCACCCACTCTGGTCCTGGGTGAGACGCCTCACCGACACGTACCACGCGAAACCCATACTGCGCTGCCGTCCGTCTGCTTCGAGAGGCCCTTGGTGGGAGCCTCCGGCAGCGCTGCCAGCGAACCTGCACGACTGGCTTGAAACCTGGGAGAGGGTCCCAAACAACTTCGCCCGCTGTATAATGCCTGGCGGCGGCATGTGCCCGCCGCTCAGCTGCGTGCGCCCGGGCTGAACCGGCGCGGCTCGCCGACGTAGAACGTGGAGTGGCCGAAGACGACGAGCACGCAACTGATGGTCCTGTCCAGCTGCGCGAGCCACCCTCAAGGATCACCACGATGCCTGCGAGGAGAGAGAGAGGATCCTGCGGCGGGCGCTGCATCGGGCGAGAGGACATAGAGAAAACATGATAACATGAAATCGCCTATGAACAATTGGTATGGTGGGGCGGGAAGTACGGTATGCGGCTGTCGACGCCGACGGGGCGACACGACAGACACGGGGAGCCTCCTGCTCCTGCTCCTTCCAAATCGGCTCCAAAACCTAGAAAACGGCCCCGAAAAAAAACATCGGAAGTGATTACACATTCGGTTTCGATTCGTTTATCTTTTTAGGCCGCAGAAGCCCCCAAACACCACTTTGTGGCGTCGCCATGCCATGCTATGTCAAGCTACGCGTTGATCTTCAACGCCATGCTATGCCATGCAATGCTATGCCCTGCTACGACATCCGACTGTGCGAAAAGAGAAGAGATCTACGCCATGGTAAGGGATGGGAGGGCGGGGTAGGACATCAGATATGACGCGAGCGCACCTAGTTTGACCCTTTCCCCCTCCCCTTCCTCCTCCCCCCATCCTTCTCTTCCCTCCCCCTCCCCCCCATCCCTCCTCCTCATACCCCTCTCTCTCTCTTTCTCTCTCTCCATCTCTATACATGTCTCTGCTCTACCCTCCCTCATCCCTCATTATCCTCCTCATTCTTGCGGCTCCGGCCGCTTCGGGCGCCCAAGCCCGTCACCTTCTGAAGGCCGGTGAAGGCGCCGTGCATGGCCTGCGAGAAGGGAGGGGAACGAGAAAGGAGAGAAATGACAACACAGTGACGACGATAACGAGGAAACGGAAGAGGAGAATGTCCGCGCGCTGCCTGCGTGGAGCCCTCTATCTGCGCCACGCGGTCCGAAATGTGTCCGAGCTCCCCCTTGTTGCTCTGCAGGCCTCTGCTCAGCACCTCGGAGACAGGGTGAGAAATGAGAAGATGAGGAGGGGGAGTGAGGTGAGGAGGGAGGGAGGGAGAGAGTGGGGGAGGGAAATGAACAAGAATAGAAGGATGGTGATGAAGAGGAGGGTGGAGGGAGGAGGAGGAGGAGGAGGAAGGAGGAGGATATGGGGGAGGAAGAGAAGGAAAGGAGGAGGAGGAGCAGCAGGAGGAGGCGGATGAGGAAGGAGGGAGGAGAGAGGAAAAGGAGGGAGGAAAGAGAAGGGAGGAAGAGGACACTGTCCCCAAGGGACAAGAGGGCGGTCAAGAGCAAAGGACGAGGCAGACGCCCATCCAGGGGCAAGCGTGTCCAAGGCAATCCGCCACCTCACGCGGAGGCTTTCCTGAAAAGGCCACAGCGAGCACACACGACCGCTACCCTACCGACACACAAGCCCGCTCGCGAAGCTCAACAACCTCCAGACCCCCCCCCAACACTGAATGAGGCCCCGTGAGGCCACCCGGGGCCAGCGTCAAAAATTGCCCGGAGCTCTGGCGCCGCGGAGGCCCCGATGCGGCCCCTCGCCGCCGCCGCAAGTCAGCATCGAGTGCGACACCTGGCTGCGAGCGATTCGAGCTGCGGGCAGCTCCTCCTCTCCTCCTCCTCCTCCTCCTCCTCCTCCCCCTCCTCTGGGAGCCTTGGAGGTCTGGGGGAGCCCGCGGCGCGACGACAATGCCGGCGCGGCTCCGCCAGCGGTGGCGGTGGCGACGGCACGGGGGCCGCACCTCGGAGGGGGGCCGCGGCCCTCCGCGATCGGCGGGCTGCCGTGCGCCGCCGCGCCGGCAAGAGGCCACGGGTGCGGTCGGGGGGGAGGGGAGGGAGGAGGAGCGGAGAGACTGACACGGGCAGTGGAGAGCGTCGAGGGCGACAGCACCACGCAGCGTCGCCTCAAGATCCTGGAGGAGGCGATTGGGGAGGAAAGAAGTGATGAGCTCATCGCCCATACGCTTCTGGCAGGAAGCGCACGTGACGACAGAAGTATCCACAGCAATCGGGCACATACAATACTGTGACATGTCACCCCCGCCCATTGACACGCAGCCCATTCTGCAAAAGAGGGCGCCTGCACGGCAGCGGCTGTGGTTTTCCACCCGCTGCAGATACTCTTCAGGAGCACAGTGGCCATATAATGTGGCAGGTTCTTATTGACATCGACGAGACTAATAACCGTCACGTCCATGACCTTTTGGGGGACCCCACGGAGCCACTTCAGGAGCCCCGGGCGCAAGATATCAGAACGAGATGGGGAAGGTTACTTGGCCGCCACTTCTCTCGTGATCCTGTGCTGCATCGAACGCGGCGGCACATCAGGCAGCTAACGAATACTCTGATATGCACGGTATTCTCGAGACATGCGTACAATAATATAATGGGTCGCCATAGGTTGCCGTCGTCACAATATACATAAATCATTCGAACCTTCCCAATCTCGAATAATGGCATCATGCATGTGGAACACTTCGCTCCGCGTCGCTGCACAGAGGGCACAAGCACGAGCACAGATCCCCTTCCACTGAGCTCTCATATCATGTCCGAACCCATCGAGTGCATGAAGGCTCGCTGGCGGGCAGGCGTGTCGCGGGCAACATGTCAAAACCTGAAGGGCGTCGTATTGAGCTACAGCTGCGGCCCGTGGAACAGCGCGGACCTGGGCACAGTGCCCTACTACTTGCAACGCGTAGGTTTTCTAAGCCTGCATGCTGCACGACAGCCCGAGCTTGGGACTTTTCACTCGAAGAGTCCTCTCTTTTAGGTGTAGACCTATCGGCGTCCCTCAACTCGTGGCGCCGTCAATGTCCATCCCGGATCCTAAATACCACTGGCCCTGCGATATGATGAATCGATGTACACGGACCCCAGCGAGTTTACAAAGCCCGATGGCGTTGAAGAACGTAGCATGGCATGGGAACACCAACTAGCATTTGGCGAGATTGGAAATGAGCCCTGTACCGAATCCTGTCTCGCACATTGCACGGAGAAGGCGAGGCAATACAGCACCGAAATCTGCACTTGTGGCGCTCAGGTCGTCGGCAAAGGCATTCAATGCAAGGGGCACCGAGACTGCAAGCTCCTGCAAGTAGCGTAGCACGTAAACCAAGTAGATACTGGAGATAATACCACTTAAAGGACAGCCCTGCTCCACCCCATGTTCAACCATGATCGGGACCTGGGGCCTGGGAACACCACGTACATTCTACACAATATGTAGTGCCCTGAGAGCGCGCTGTACATGCCGAGGGAGATCGAGAGCGCGGCAAATATGTACTCATGACGTATTGAAGGGAAGGTCGCCTTTCGATCAAACGTGGCAATTCCAGTTTGCCTACTGTCACACATGGCAACCCAATTGTCAACTTAGCGTCGACTTCGATAGTGCTCTCCAAGAATTGCCGCCCTCGGAGAAAGCCCGTCCGGGCCTGGGAAACCTGATCCTCAGCAGCCTCGGCCAGCGGAACCGCTAAAGCAGACGTTGTCACAGTTCGAAAGGGAGAAGGATCGGGTGCATGATGGCTAACGGGAAACGACTTCTCCCTGCGGAGGCAGTCCTGTTGGCAGAATCGCAGCGGTACAAACATTAAACTACTCAGGGATCGTGTCGTCGCCCATGAGCCGCAGGTAGAGGTTAGATCGCATTTTCTTGCAGATTGGGCCTGCAGACCGTCAAGCCGAATAAGGGATCCCATCGGGCCAAGGGGAAGTGTCCTGTTTCGAATCCAACACACTGTACAACCAAACTTCAATGATAATCCAGGGCTACATACTACCGTCATTGACCTGATACTGGTAGTCATCCTCATGAATACAGGGGTGGCATATTTCATGTGTTTCTGGATGGCATCGGCGGCGGCAAATTGCTTCTAAGATTCTCCGAGGTGTGACCATTCTCGTCCGTAATGGCATGGAAAATAACCTGCCGGCCAAATGCCATCCATGCCCGACCGGAACGACGGACACGGGCTATCTATTCTTAGAGGCCTCGGGCACCACATCTGGCCGCATCGCCGATTCGCCGATGCAGCATCGGCATGCGGCGGGATCCTCAGACCCCATCTGACAGACCTGGCATGAACGTCACCACCAATACCCTGGGCGGCCTGGCCAGCACGCCCTCGCACTTCCAAGGATGCGAGGCGCAGTGCTGGACGCTAGAAAATGGGCACCGACAACAACACAGAGGGCACCTCCACCGGGGAAGGATGATCCCAGATTCCGGCGTTGGTGGTAATATTCGGCCACCCAGAAGCCCGAAAGTTACTGCCACCAGCAAGATCGGGATCGTCTTCCCTCCGTTGAGGCACACAACCGAAATTGGTTTGTGCGAGACGAGACTCGAAGCCTAGGCGGACGGCCCAAACAACGCGCGGAAGAGATCGTAGACCTCGGCTGGGCGAGGCAACATTGGATGCCCCGACGGATGGTTTAAACACAGTCCAGCCCTGGCGCCAAGGAGGAGGAGGAGGAGGAGGAAGGGGGAGGAGGAAGGAGAAAGAGGAGGAGGAGGAGGAGGAGGAGGAGGAGGAGGACAGGAGCAGGACAGGAGCAGGAGAGAGGAGGAGTAGGAGGAGGTGACGGAGGAGGAAGAAGGAAGAGGAGGAGGAGGAGAAGGAGGAGGAGGAGGAGGAGGAAGAGAGAGGAAGAGAGAGGAAGAGAGAGGAGGAGGAGGAGGAGGGAGAGAGAGGGAGAGAGAGAGAGAGAGAGAGAGAGGAGGAGGAGGAGGAGGGGGAGGAGGAGGAGGAGGAGGAGGAGGAGGAGGACAGGATCAGGACAGAAGCAGGAGAGAAGAGTAGGAGGAGGTGTAGGAGAATGAAGGAGGAGGAGGAAGAGAGAGGAGGAGGACGAGGAAGAGAGAGAGAGGAGGAGGAGAAGGAGGAGGAGGCGGGAGGAGGAGGAGGGAGGAGGAGGGAGGAGGAAGAGAAGGGAGGAGGAGGAGGAGGAGGAGGAGGGAGGAGAAGGAGCAGGAGGAGGAGAGAGGAGGAGAATGAAGGAGGAGGAGGAGGAGGACCGCCGCCCTGCGCCCGTGGGCCCGAGAGGAGCCGAAGGTGCCTGCCGGCCTCCGGCCAGCAGTTTTGGCCCCTCCTGTCCGAGATGATGTTGCGCACCCTCTTGGTGGCGTAGCGTGCGGGCGCGGCCGCAAGAAACCCTCGCAAGAAACCCAGTCCTGAGAACCCGTGCGCAAGGTGCACCCGATGGGGACACCTGGAGCACCCTGAACGCAGCAGCTCTTTCAACGGCTGCGGGAAGTCACCGCGCAGCGCGAGGAGCGAAGAGACCAAGGATACCCTGACGAAAAGCATGTGGTTTCTTGATGCGCGCCCACACTGTACCTCATGACATCCCCGACCTCCTCAAGCTGCTGGAAGATGTCTTCGGGCAAACCGTCCTGGTCTAGGGCCCCCTGGAGCGTCTCCAGGAAGCGGGTGTGACGGGCAATCCACGTCGGGATCCCCTGGTGGCCGTGCGGGGTCCATTTGGAGAAGTTGAGGTCGATGCACGTGATCTGAAGGGGCTCGGCGATCTGCAATAGGCCAACTGGTACCTATCTTCGGGCACTGGTCCAAGATGTCCTGACTAGCCATGCTCGTATAGATACGGTCGAGCCGACCGAACGTAACCTGCCCGAGAAGTACAATCCTACAGGTGTCGTGCTCTTGCACGGCCTCGGCGAACGCAAGCAAAGCCATGCAAAAAGAGCTGGCCAAACGGTTGGTCGACGGCACTTCTGTGCCATCACTGATATGCATAGGAGACTCCTCGTACGCCAGAAAGTTCATGTCCCCGAAGACGAACAAGAGAGAAGAGGTGGATGGTAGCAAGACGCGACGAGCAAGCCGAAACGTAGGCCTAGCGTGAGCCTCCGAGCAGTCAGGAACGATGTGATGTTGACAATGTGTAGGCAATGCTCATAAGAGATGAGGGAGAGTCCGAGGATGCACCCTTTGGAAATTACATGCGAAATAACACGTGTGCAGTGCTTTAAAGTCGGCCGGTGGACAAAGATGAGGGTACCACCCGCACAGCTAGTGTCACAGAACATGTCAATTATAACATGGGTCTCGAAGTCCCTCCATAACTGATCGAGATCCAGGAGGAAGAGGAGGAGGAGGACCAATGCAACACAAAGACTAATCAACGATGTTGGAATCCACCTTCCCTCCAAGATCCCTCTTCACATGCCCCTTACAAGAGACCATTCCCACTGAGAGAACTGTCCCGTTGGGGGACAACCGTGTGAACAGCTTGAAGGGTACCAAAACACCGTTCTCACGAATTCAGCGCTACGAATGAAACGAATTGTTACGTACTGGCGATCCTGAACCGTACCAGGACAGCGGTGCTGAGACTTCAGCACCGCGAATCAACGTAATTGTTGCGCCCTGACAATCCTGAATCGTTCCAAAACTGCATTTCTGGAACGTTAACTATGAGAACCCATGAATATCTTACAAACGTTCAAAACGAATGTGCGCGGCGCTCAAGCGAGAACCACATGTTCAACCATTGAAATCTTTCCAACTAATTCAAACGAATGTGCGCTGCGTTAAAAAGAACCACAATGTGAAAACTTCCCACCCTCAATCCGTGAAGCTCCCGCAAATCTTTAGAACGAATGCGCGCGGCGCTAACGCGACAACCGCAGTTTGAAAACGACCCGCCTTCAATCCGTTAAACGCTTCCAAGTGTGTCAAGATAATGTGCGCGGCGCTGCGCTAAAGACAACCACATTTTGAAACCGTCCCGCCGTCAATACGTGAAGCTCCCACAAATGTTTAAAACGAATGTGCGCGGCGCCACGCGACAACCGCATTTTGAAAACAGCCCGCCTTCGATCCGTGAAACGCTTCCGAATGTTTCAAGCGAATGCGCGCGGCGCTTAAGTGAGAGCCACAATTTGGAAACGACCCGCCGTCAAATCCGTGAAGCTCTGGCAGATGTTTTAAGCGAACTTGCGCGGCGCTAGCGCGAGAGCCACATTTAGACAAATACCCGCTCTCAATTGAGAATCTCTTGCTAATCTATACAACGAGTGTGAGCGGCACTAAAACGAGAACCAATTTGAACACGAACCGCCCTCAACCCGCTAGACCCTGGCAAACGTTTAAATCGCTTGTGCGCGGCGCTACGGCCAGAGTCACATTTTGAATACCACCCGCCCTCCATCTGCGAACCCTGTGTCCATTCTAAAGCATGAGGGTCATAAGTGGTGAAAAAGTCTCAGGCGAAACGCCCGGCCCGTCCTGTCGACCAGCCTCAGGGTGAACCAGGGAGGAGTAACCGATGTAAAGAAGAGGAACAAGAATTCAGGAGGCAGGAAGAGGCCGAAAGGGTAGACGGAGGGGAGAACCAGAGGCGGAGGGCGAGGCCACGACGCGCCTGCCCAAGCCTCACAAGAAATCCGATCCTGCGGAGGACCAGGGGAAGCGAGTGAGGAGGGAGAGAGCGGATGGAGGAGCAGAGGAGGCGGGGAGGGAGGAGGCGAGGAGGGGAGGAGGTGAAGGAGGAGGGTGGGGGCAGGAGAGGGAGGGGTAGGTGAGTGGAGGGCGACATGGGTGAAGGATAAGGGGAGAAAAGATATCAATGCGAATCGTGAAGGGGAGGCGATGTATCTGGTGGGGTGGGTAGGGCGGGGGAGGGGGGGGGAAGGGGCGGTGGAAGGGGAGTGGGGGACGGAGGGGGATCGAGGGGGGGGTGGTAGGGATGGAGAGGTCATTGAAAAGGGGATTGGGGAAGGATGGTCTGAGGGAAAGAGGGAGAAGGCAAGGGGGAGGCAGGGATGGAAGCGAGAGAAGGGAGGCACGGATGGGGAGGGAGAGGAGGAGGAGGAGGAGGAGGAGGAGGAGGAATGGGAGGATGAAGAGGAGGAGGAATGGGAGGAGGAATGAGAGGAGGAGGAGGAGGAGGAGGAGGAAAAGGAGGAGGAGGAGGAGGAGGAAAGGAGGAAAAGGAGGAGGAGGGGGGGAGGAGGAGGTGGGAAGGGGGGGAAGAGGAGAGGGGAGGAGGAGGAGGAAGAGGAGGAGGAGGAGGAGAAGGAGGAGGTGGAAGGAGGAGGGTGGGGCAGGAGAGGGAGGGGTAGGTGAGTGGAGGGCGACATGGGTAGGAGGAGGATGAGGAGGAGGAGGTGGGAAGGGGGGGAGGGCAAGGGGGACGGCAAAGATTAGGGGGGGGGCGATAAGGCCCAGCGGACGGGACGGGGTGCATGGGAAGTTGCAGGGGGACATAATGGAACGGGAGGGAGCGGAGGGAGGGTGCTAGGAGGTGGGGACAGAAGGCGGGGGTGGGGATAGAGCGAGGAGAGAGGGGATGAATGGATGGAGGAAGGGAGGGAACGGGGATGGGACCAGAGGGAGAAAGGAAAAGCAGGGAGCGAGCGAGGAGTGAGAGAGGGGAAAGAGGGAGAGGAGGAAGGGGCAGGGGCGAAAAGGGTAGAGGATTGTACTTCGCCTCCTCCTCCTCCTCCTCCTCCTCCTCCGCCTCTTCCCCTCCTCCTCCTCCTCCTCCTCCTCCTCCTCCTCCTCCTCCTCCTCCTCCTCCTCCTCCTCCTCCTCCTCCTCATGATCATCACATTCCCTCCCTCGCCTACTCTCCTCCTCTCCCGCACCTCCTCATGATCCATCCCTGTTCGCCTCGCTCCTTCTCCCCACTCCTCCCCCTCTCGCCCCTCCCTGTCCTTCCCGCTCTCCCTCCCATCCCAGGAGGAAGATGAGTTACGAGGAGGCGAGGGATGGGGGGCACCAGCATGGAGGAGGGAGTGGGAGGAGGAAGAGGAGGAGGAGGAGGACGACGACGGCCCGCCTCCGATGTCTTTCGTCCTCCCCTCCCGCCTCAGGAGGTGAAGCCTTGAGGAGGGATCCTCCAATATCCCTCCATCTCTCCCTCATCCCTTCACGGGATGCCTCCAGCTGTTTCGCAGCTGTGGCCACATTGTCGTTCGTCTTCTCCAAGTCGCGTTGCATGTGCGCCGCCTCGTTGGCTGCCTCCAGAGTCGGGAAGCACTCATGGCCAGGACATTCATCCTCCTCCTACTCATCACTCACTGCGCCCCCATGTTAAGTATTCCTCCTCCATCCGAACTACACGCCCATACGTCATGCTCATCCGTTTTAGACTGACCAACGCCACCACAACGCGTTAATCCTTATACCATCTCTCCAGAGCTTCTTCACGACGACATCTCCATGAGCATGCGCACCCCTATACATATATCTATGTGTATATATATATACACATCTATATATAGAACCGCGCACGCGCTTCGCGCACGCATGCCATGGCGTTGTTAGCTGTGAGTGTTTTTTTTTCCGGACTGGCTCATTCCATGCCTTGCCCCTTTCTCCTCTCATATTCCTCATACGTCCTTCCTCATTAGCCATCCAGTCTCTATCGGTTGCCCTCCCTTTTCGTTTCTCGTTCTATGGACGGCATCCTCTTACTTGGGATTATGCGGGGCCTTCGAGCTGGTCAGGGCCCGCGTGGGGAGATATTGAATATGAAGTGGAATGGCTTGGAGTGTAGGGGTATCTTGGGGATCTTCCTATTCGGGCTGCCTTGAAGGCCTTGGGGCCCGCTTGGGGCCCTCTTGGGCTCTTCTTTGAAGCTGTGGGGCCGTCTCGAGCCTCGGGGCCAGGTGAAGTTCTCCCGACGCCATCCGAAGGAGAAGAGCGCGAGATTTACTAAGTATGGAGAAACCTGAGTAGTTTTTGCGTTTACGGCTCTCTGGGGTCATTTTGGGGGGCCTTTTGGAAGCTCCATTGGGGCATCTTGTGGCCCCTGGGGGCCGCCTTGAAACATCTTGGAGCGTCTTGGGCCACCGAGGGGCCATCTTGGTGGCCAACGGGCATTCTCCTGAACCAGCTGGGAACCCTCTTCAAGCAGAACAAAAACCGCCCAAAGACTCCAAGGCGGATCCCGGAGCCCAGGGGGGCCAAGTGTGTTGCGATGGGGAGAGTTTGAGAAAAGTGGGCCACCCCAGGGCCAGAAACCTGGTCGCTGGTGCACAGAGCAAGGTTGAGTCATAGCGCACTGGTTGGTCCATGAATGGACGAACTGAACACGTGGCGGGGGGTTACGCCGCATTCGCAAAGACATACACTGTGAGAACAGATTGCGTATTCCCCATGGAAAAGACGAGTAACGCGAGGAGGAGGAGGAACTGGAGGAGGGAGGAGGGATGTCAGAGGAGTAAGGCGGGAAGAAGAGGAAGGAACGGGGGGGAGTGGGGGCCACAGGCGCTGGACGTTCCAGCGAAACCCCTCGAACCACGGAGGGGGGGATGGCAAAGTCGAGATGGTGACGCCGAACCCCCCATCGTTGTCATCCTCCTCCACTTCCGTTTCCTCTCCTGTTCCTCCTGCTCCTCATCATCCTCCTAGTTCACCCTGCTCAAAATGCCCGAACAGTCAACCTGATTCCACGCAGCAAAGGGTGACGAATCAAATCATACAACAAGGGCAACGGAGCCAGCTCGAAAAAGACTCATTTCCCTTCTTCCCCAGTCGCCTTCTCCTCTTAAATTCAATACCTCTCGACCTCTCCACCCTGTTCTTGCTCCGCTCTCTATTATCGGAGGGGACGGCCGTTCGCCGTTCGACACGCCACACACGTACAACGTACCAACCTGACTCCTTGGGTCCGAGAAGCGAACGTTAACGAGGCATCCTGGTAGAGACGCATCGCTTGGCGCATATTTGCCTGGTCAGTAGTCCAAGGGTGCGCGGACAAGGCGTAGCGAAACTGCTCGCTGCCCCTAGAGTGAAAGTAATGAACAACAGGACATGACACTATGACACTACTATTTTCCGACGGAGACGCATCAGCCTGGCGCGCACTTGTCTGGTCGATCGCCCACGGGCGTGCACGCAAGGCCAACAATGAAACTCCGCCACCCTGTCGCAGGCATGCTGCGGCCGTGTGAGAGTACTTGCTGGTTTTCGGGAAAAAATTCTGCTGTTCTCTTAAGTCGGGCCTGTCCCCCTACAGGGGGATTTTCGACGAAAAACACAAAATACCCCCCAAATAATCAAACTATAATCCAAACATAGTCTGGGGACTATTGTTTGACCTTCTTGGGGGATTCTTCGGAATATCTTGCATCTTTCGTCGAAAACCGCCCTGAAGGGGGACACGCCCGACGCAATGCTCTCTGGGAGCGACGCCCCCCATGCTGCCCGCATCCTCTCCTGATCGCGCCCTCTCTGCACCCCGCCCCACGGCTCCGAGGCTCCCCGGGCCAGAGACCCCGCCTCCGAACGGCCGTCCGACGCCCCAGGCCCGTCCAGCGACGGCCCAGCGGACTCTCTCGGCCCCCTCCTGAGATCCCGCTGGGAGCTCCTGGGGCCCTCTCGGGCCTCTCGGGGCCCCGTGGGGCGGACTCCGGAACCTCCCGGGCCGTTCTCGGGGTCCTCTTGGGCCGTCTTCGGGCCCAAGGAGTGGGGGGGAGGAGGGGCCAGGCGGAGCGAAACAAACGATTTCTCTCCGCGGCGGGCAGATAGGATCCGAGGTTGGGAGAGAGATCGGGGTGAGCAAGAGACCCCCCCCCCGCCAAGAGATCGTTTTCGGTTTCGTGTTCGTGTGGTGCGTGTTGTGGGCGGGGCGAAGCTGCGCGGGCGGGCGAGAGGAATGAACCAGCCGAGCTTACGGCAAAACCGGGCCAAATTTTGCTGTGCCCCCCGGTTGGCCAGCGGCAGCCCGGGGGTGTCCCGCGGTTTCCCGCGGTGTGATAGAATCCAAGGTTGGGAAAGAGATCGAAGTGAACAAGAGACCCCCCGCCAGGAAATCGTTTTCGGTTTCGTGTTCGTGTCGCGCGTGGGCGAGGCGAAGCTGCATCGGCGGGCGAGAGGACTGAACCAGCTGTACTTACGGCAAAACCGGGGCAAATCTAGCTGTGCCCCCCGGTTGGCCAACGGTGGCCCAGGGGTGTCCCGCGGTGTCCCGTGGTGCCCCGCCCCCCCCCGGTAGGCAGGCAATGGCCTGGGGGTGTTCCGCGGTGTCCCGTCGTGTCTAGTGCTATGCGATGCTGCGCTACGCAATCCTTTGCCATGCTGTACAATGCTACGCAATGTTACGACTGCGATGTTAAGCTCTGTGATGCGATGCGATGCGATGCGATGCTATGCGATGCGATGCGATGCGATGCTATGATATGCTCCGCCATACTGTGCTATGCGATGCTATGTGTTTATATGCGATGCGATGCTATGCGATACTATGTTATGCTATGCTATGCTACGCTATGCTCGTCTTTGCTGTGCTGTGCGATGCTATGCGATACTATGCTACGCTCTGGCACGCTTTGGTCTCCCCGTCTCCCCCCCTCTTCACCACACACACAACCTTCTTATCACCCGAAGGGTAGTCGTACATGTAGGTATGCACTGGCAGAATCTCGCGGCCAGAGACTCAACCGCCTCGCGCACACGTGCCTGGAGCGGGGAGGGATGGGGAGGAATGTGAACGATCTGGGAGGAGCGGGGAGGGGTGCGGAGTGGGGTGTCTTGTGGGCCTCTTGGACTGTCTCGGCGCGCTCTGGGATCCACAGGCGCATACGGTGGGCTTTTCTCCGGCATCCGTGGGCTATAGGACTATTATGCTGTAGGGGTGTAGGGCTATAGGGCAATAGGGCTATCGAGCTATAGGGCTCTAGGGTTATAGGGCAATAAGGCTATAGGGCTGTAGTGCTATAGGGTTATAGGGCTATGGGGCTGTAGGGCTATAGGGCTCTAGGGCTGTAAAGAATAACGCTGCAGGGCTATGGAGATATTGGGTTATAGGGTTATCGGGCTATAGGGCTATAGGGCTATAGGCCTGTAAGGCTTTGGGGCCATAGGGCTATAGGGCTACATGGCTATAGGGCTATGTGGCTATAAGGCTATAGGGCTACAGAACTGTAGGGCTATAGGGCAAAAGGGCTATAGGGCAAAAGGGCTATTCGGGCTATCAGACTGTAAAGCTATAGGACTATAGGGCTCTAGGGCTACCGGGCACCCGGGCACCTGTGCACCCGGGCGCCATACCTCACCTAAACGTAGGAGTCCGCCAGGACCCCTACAGAGGCAAGCTCGACTTGGGGAATAGCTCTATAGCCCCATAGCCCTATAGCGCTACCGCCCTATAGCCCTATACCCCCATAGACCTATAGCCTTATAGCCCTATACCCCTATAGCCCGATTGCCCTTTGGTCATATAGCCCTATAGCCCAATAGCCCTATATACTCATAGCCCAATGGCCCTATAGCCCTGTAGCCCCGTAGCCCTACAGCCATATAGCCCTATGGTCCTATAGCCCTATACCCCACAGCCCTATAGACCTATAGCCCTATGGCCCTATATCCTAGAGTGCCATAGCCCTATAGCCCCATAGCCCAATAGCGCCATAGCCCTAGAAAGACTTTGATTGGGGGTCTCCTCCAGCTTCAGAACATAAACGAATATGCTAAAAATATACGCTTCCTCGATGAACTGGGACGATGTGTGTTTCTTGCGGCCCTCATGGATGTCCTCGTGGAGCCCTCTTGAGGGACCTGGGGGGCCTCTCGGGCCGTCTTGGAGCCATCTTGGGCGCCTTGGCGCGCTCTTGGACTGTCTCGGAAGCCTCCTGGGCCGTCTGGGGAGCGCCTTCGGGCCCTCCGAAAGCCCCCCGAATGCGCGCAATGAGTCCCGGACCCCGAGGGACACAGTGGGCACTTGCGGGGAGGAGGGGGGGAATTTTGCAAACGTGGGCCGCCTCGGGCCCCAGAGGCCTGGTCGCGGGGTCCGCATGGTGAGCGCTTGCGCGCTGCAGTCAGAGCCACCTTGAGCCAAAATGGCTACGGATGCTCGTGGAGCGTCTTTCGGGACCCCTTTGGGGCCTCGTGGGCCTCTAAGGGACCTCTAGGGCTCTGTTGGGGGCCTCCTGGAGGCCTCTTGGGGCGGAAGGCTCGAATTGTCGGTTCGTGTTCCCCCTCCTGGGCGCCTCTTGGGCCGTCTTGGAGGCCTCTTG